CCACCTGCCTCAGCCCACGAGGCCCCGCCCCCCGCACCGTGAACCCCTCATCCCTGGCCCCACCCCAGAGCCTGCACCCCCTCCCGCAGCCCACAGCCCTTCTCACACCCCAACCCCTTCCCCGGTGAAAATGAGTAGGTGAGCGAGAGTGGGTGAGAGCGAGTGACAAGAGGGAGGGTGGATGGAGTGAGTGGGGGCAGGGCCTTGGGGAAGGGGTGGGGCAAGGGTGTTCAGTTTTCTACAATTAGAAAGTTGGCACCCCTAGCAGCAGGTCCTACTCGCCCCCACCCTCCTTCTGCTACAGGTCCTGGCCAGGCTGGGCTCTCCTTTCCCCTCCCCTTCACCCCGGTTCTTGGCTGGGTCAGGCCCTCGTCCTCACCCTGCTCCCCCATCCCCTTTGGCTCTTGGCCAGGGCCTGCTCTCCTCCCAGCCCGTAGCCAGGCTGGGGCCTGCTCCCTCTCCTGACCCTGCCTCTGCCCCACAGCACGTGGACATCCAGAACTTCTCCTCCAGCTGGAGCGACGGCCTGGCCTTCTGCGCCCTCGTCCACAACTTCTTCCCCGAGGCCTTCGACTACACACAGCTGACGCCCCAGAACCGCCGCCGCAACTTTGAGGTGGCCTTCTCCTCGGCAGAGTACGTACCCCTCCCCGCTGCGCAATGCGGGCCGGGGCTGGGGCCCTGCCCGCTCTGCTGTCTCAGGAGCATGGCACTGCCCTGCTAAGTGCCCCTAGGGCTGCCTCTCCTACGAGCTGAGCCGGCTCCCTGCTGCCCTGCCACGTGCTTGGGGCTCTCCGGCCGGCTCTGCTGTTCCCAGCATGCCGTGCGTGGCTGCTCTGGCCTGACCCTGGGCAAAGCGACGTCCGTGCAGGTGCACAGGAAGCCAACGCAGCCCAGTGCTCAGTGCAGAGATGTCGGGCCAAACCCTCGGAGCCCTGAGCATCGCTGAGATGGCCCCGGAGCAGCCTTCGCGAGGGACTGAACGATTCCCCAGAGTGCTCCTTGCCCATAACCGGCAGCCGCTGCCCCGCCACGCCACTGAGCACCGACAGTGGCCGGCCTTCCCTGGCTAACCCTGGGCGCACGGAGCCCCTTCCCCTGCCACCGTCCCCCTCTTCTAACTGCTTGAACGCGGGAGGAAAACCTGCAGGCCGAGGCCCCTCAAGCTGCCTGGGGCTTGCCTGGCGACGAGTGGGGAGGGGATGGCCAGGCTGGCGGGGGCCGGGGTGCAGTGCAGCGCTGCAGCCCAGGCAGCGTGGGGCTGAGTCCCGCCCCGGGGGCTGGGCCGCTATTGCAGCTTCCTGAGCTCCCCCTTTTCGCTTCTGGTTTCCTGGGGTGCTGAGATAAGGGAGCGGGTCCAGCTGGAGGCTGTGTCTCAGCCCCTCTCCTTCCTTCTGTCTCTCCATCCATCCATTCATCCACCTATCCCTCCTTCCCTTCAGCGGCCGGCTGCACCCTTGCGGAGCCAGAGGCAGTGTTTCCACAGGCTGGGGGCGTGTGGGGATGTGATCTGAGTTCCCTTGGCCCGTGCAGGCTGCCCTGCCGGGGCTGACGTCTGGGGGCCAGGAGGCCCCAGATGGCGCGTGGGTGTCAGCTCCCCAGGCCCGCGCGCTCTTCTGTCTAGTCCGCACAGGGTACAGCGAGCGGTGGTGTGCGGGGTGCGTGTGCCTGGGACTTCCGCCTTCCTGTTAATTATGCCTTTTGCCTTAACGGGGACCGGTGCGTGGACCATGAGAGCAATCGATCCCTCCGGCCTGGAAGCCAGGTGGCCCTTCCCCTTCCTCCCCCTCCGGCCCTCGGTGAGCTTCTTGCACCGATTCCAAGCGGAGCCAGGCGAGGAGGGAGCCGGGCCTTCCCCTCTGCCACCCCATCTATATACGCAGCTATATAGAGAGCCGCTCCGCTCTGGAATCCGCTCCTCAACCGCTGGTTGGCGCCAGAGCACTTCACTCCCTTCCTCCTCCTCCTCCTCCTCCTCCTCTGTCTCCCTCTGTTCTTCCTCCTCACGCTGGACCTCACACTCCCGCACTTCTGTCTCCCCCGGCTGTGCTCGTGTAGCCCCGATTCCTGTTAGTCTCACAGTGCCGGTAGTGCAGCGGTACCCGGGAATGCGCACCCTCCCCCGAGCATGTGTGAACTGGAGCGTTGTTATGGCCCAGGGGAATGTGAATTGGATTGATACGTTTCTCTTGTTCTCTCTCTTCCCCCCCCCGCCCCACCCTCTCCCCGACTGGGCTGTGATCACTCGCTCCCCCTTTCCCCCCGCCCCCAGGAAGCACGCAGACTGTCCGCAGTTGCTGGACGTGGAGGACATGGTCCGGATGCGCGAGCCGGATTGGAAGTGTGTGTACACATACATTCAGGAGTTCTATCGCTGCCTGGTCCAGAAGGGGCTGGTAAAAACCAAAAAGTCGTAGCCTATTTCCACCCCCGGGAGCGATGGTGAGAATCTTCCTCTCAATCTACCGCCCAGCCCCGGCTTGGAGGGGGCAGCGAGGGGCCTGGCTGTGCTGTGCTGAGTTGGGGGCTAGCGGGCAGGGCAGGGGTGAGCCTGGTAATGCCCAGGTGCAGCTGTGCAGTAGGTATGGGGAGGGGGGTGAGTCCTGCCATCCATGGGGTGGGGGTCTGTGGGGCACACTCCTCTTCCCAGAGAGCAGGCCAGAAGTCAGGGCGCCAAGGGGCAGAGCACTGTTAGCCAGACTGACTCTGACCTGAAACACTGCCCGAGTGTCGGGGGCTGGGGAGGGGACCAGGTCATCGCCCCCCAGCACCGCACACGGGCTGAGCCACAGCCTTGGATCCCGCCAGGCGGAGGGGCGCCCTGACGAGATTTCCCTCCCCAGCTCTCTGAGTCCGGGATATGGGGCACGGGGGGCTGTTCTGAACTGCTGCTTTAATTACACCTCTCCCTGGGCCGGAGCAGCCTGGTGCTGGATCGAGGGCTGGCAGCGCGACTCCTGCAGCCCTCCCCGCCCCACTGCTCGTGCTGGCAGGGCCAGGGGGCTAGTGAACTCCTGGGCCTGGTGCTTCCTCCGTCTGTGTCCCGCCAGAGCAGCCTTCTCGCCCCGGGCGCCCGCTCCCAGCCCTGTGCCGCAGGCCGGCGAGGCTGAGCCGGGGTTCAGGCGAGGTGAGCCAGCCCTCCCACTGCAAGGTGCCTCCTCGTCATATATGGGCAGGCGATGGGAGCAGGGAGCCTGGAAAGTGTGACTCAGGCACGTCCATCACGCTGCTCCTTGTTAGTGTTTGGGCCTGTCTGGGGCCATCTCTGCTCCCGCTGGAGCCTCCCCCGGGCCCCGCGCGCTGCAGGCTCAGCTATGCCTTTATAAGGGCAGGGATTCTCCTGAGGCTGCCTGGAGCTTTTCCATCACGAACCCAGCCGGACCGGTGCCGCGGGGGGGAGGGAGCCAGCTGCCAGGGGCTGTATTTCCAGAGGTGCTGGAACCAAGGGGAGCAGCAGCTGCTGGCCGGGGGCACCTGGGCTCCAAGCCCCCCCAGAGCCAGTAGGGCCCCCCCGGGCTGGAGCTGTCACTGCAGTGATTGCCCACTCTGCTGCAATGCAGGACTCAGTACAGCGAAAGAACCATTCGGGGCCTAGGCCCGGAGCAGGAGGGGTTGGCAGCGGCCCAGCTGTTTGGGAGGGGAGCTGCAGGGCAGAGGGCCTCTGGGGTAGTTAAGTGGGCAGGGCTGGGGGGGGCAGAAGCCCTTACCCCCCCACCCCCGGTGCTCTGTGCTGAATGTCCTGAGCGGTGCTGGTACTGCCCAGCAGACCCGGTGCCAGTCTTGGCTCTCACATCCCCTCTCCATGCCGATGCTGCTGGAAGCAAGCAGGCACTGTTGGGGGAGGGGTGCAGGGCAATGCCTGCCCCATCTTGGCGCTTTCGGCCAAATGCCTGGACGCCACTGGCCCAACGAGCCCCTTTCACTCCCAGCGCCAGTGGTCCTGGCAGGAGCGCCGAGCCGGGTGTGGCAGGGGGCTGGGTACTGTGTGTGCACCGAGCGCGTACAGGGGCTAGGCCAGGTGGGCGGGGCTGAGCCCTCCCTGGGTGCAGATCAGCAGGTGTTGGCGAGAGCGGGAGGCGGGGGGGGAAGCTCCGCGTGCAGGGCTGGGGGGTTCGCGTGGGGGTACCCAGCTGGCTGTAGTGTCCCTGGCTGAGGGGGAGCCGGGCTGCTGCAGCTGGGCGCAGTAATGAGCAGCAGCTCCCAGCTGTTCTGTCGCAGGCCAGCATCCGTTCACTTCATGTGTCAGCACTGCAGGCTCCGAGTCCGTCTCAACTGCCCACAAGTGCCTTACCGCCCCGCCGTGCCCAGGCGGCCTGGGCTGGGAGAATAACACCCTGCAAGGGGTGCACACGTGGCGTCAGCAGCAAACGGCTGGTGGCTGGAGCTCTGCCACGGCTCACTGAGAGACCTTGGGCAAGTGGTGCCTCGGTTTCCCCACCTGCAGAGGTGGGAGGATGCTGAAGGGGCTAATCAGTGGCGGGGCAGCACGTGGAGCTCCCTGGCTGGAAGGCTGCTGAGTGATCTCAGCCCTGCACCATGCTGGCCGAGGGGGGGCTGGGTGGGGGACTGAGACTCCTCCCTCTAGGGCACCGTGGGGCTGAGCTTGGGGGAGGGCGCTGGGGCAGGGGAGAGGTACTCTACTGCCAGCAGGAGGCACTCCCCTGCCTCTGAGGGGAGTCAGGCAGGGGGTCTCTGAGGCCCTGGGGGCAGGCCCCTCCCTCTGCCAGCCTCGCTGGGGGGGATTTCCTGCTCTGGGCTCTGCCCCGGGCCTGAGCAGCGCAGGGACGGCCTGGCTCCTAGGAAATCAGCCACGTGCTGGTAGGAAGCCTGCGCCAGGCACCATGGCTGTGATCAGCTGGGCTTGGCCTCAGCTCCGGCCAGGGAGCTGGCTGGGCCAAGCACCGTGGTGGTAGCATGGGCCAGGCTCTCCCAGCCTACACACAGCGCCATCGCTGCTCAGTGCCCGGACAGATGGGGGGGTGGGGAGGGGTCTTCTGCGTGATGGGGCTGTTTCCCAGTGAGTTGGGGGGTCCTGGGTGCTGGCTACACCGCAGCCTGCTGCTGTACCCGCAGCTGCCACCACCAGGGGCTGTTCCTTCCTGCTGCCAGGCGTCTCCCCAGCCTGCAGTGCCCGGTGCCCAGGCCTGTTCAGCAGAAGGGGCTGGGGGCAGAGGGATCCTTCGTCCCCCTCCAGCACTTCCACGCAGGGATCGCTCAGCGCTTTACAGGCACGAGCCGCCTGGGCCCTCGGTCTCACCCCAGTCCCCGCTGGGCCGGCCAGCCGCTCTGGGGGTCTGTGCCAGCAATGGGGAGGGGGACGCTGGCTCCAGGCTTGTGCTCACCCCACCAGCCCTTGCTCCCTCTGCAGTTGGGATGTCCCTGAATGCGCGGCTCTCCCCTGAGCGCGAGCTGGGCAAGGCCTGGCACTGGGTTACCAGCTCCACTCCTTCAGGCTCGTCCCTCTGCCCCTCCTGTGTGCCAGGCTGCTGCTCTCTGCTGGGGGGCTTGGCATCGCTGCAGAGCCCCAGTGCTCCCCTGCTACTGCTCCATGATTTAGCCAGCTGCCCCTTTAAAATCCACTCCCCCCATTCCAGTCCCAGGTAGCAGAGCCTGGCCAGCCAGGAGGGGGCTCAGGGGAGCCTCCACCCCCCCTTTCCTGTACTGTTTGCAACAGCTGCCGTGGCCCTGGGGCTAGTGCCAATGGCTCCCAGCAGAATCTGCCTCTGGGAGCCTGCGCTGGAGCTCTGGGCCAACAGGGTCGTGCTGGGCAGGGAGTCTGGGCCATGCCCGGCCTGGGCTGCCCCCCACCCACTGCTACAATAACATCTGCCTCTGCTGCAGCTTCCCCTGCACCCGCTCCTGGGGAGGTGGGGGGTGCTATGTGCTCCTGGGGCAGGCGAGGGGCTGGTACAACACTAGCAATCCTGCTCCAGAGGTTAACCCATTCTTGTGCTGTGGCCCAGACCCCCAGCACTGCACCCAGGGCTTCCATGATGCTGCTGAAGGTGGGTCTGGCAGGCACCCCATGGGCTCAGCCCTGAGCCTTTCACCACCTCCCCTGCAGAGCAGCCCTCCAGGGGAAGGAGGTGAGGTGCCCCCTACGAGGGGCGCAGCTTGGCTGGGTTCCAGGCCTGGCACCCTGGCCAGTGCCTGGTCGGCTCGTCTGCTCTTGGCAGTGTTTGGCTGAGTGTAGCCTGGGGGATCGTGTTTGGGTCGTAGCTGCGCTCCCGCTCCCTTTGCAGCCCCAGTTCTCGTTGCTCCAGGTGCAGTTTCTGCCCCAGCTGCTCGCAGGGAGTTAATACACCATAACCTTGCCCCTTTCTCCTTTAGCCACGGTGCAGGAACTACAGCTCCCAGCATGCATTGCCTCCCCTGGTGCTGAGCTGCAGGCTGGGACGTGTGGTCTCCTTGGGCCTCACCTTGATTGGCTGCCCGTGGGCCCTGGGCAGCTCTGGGGTAGCATTTCTCACCCTTGCCCCGTTGGCATGGGGTGTGCTGGCAGGGCCGTCCCTCCTGCTCTGGGAAGGACGGCACAGGAGCTGTTGGCGGGTGGAGCCCAGGCAGGCCTGTGCCAGGAGCTGCTGTGTGCCAGGCCAGGTTGGTGCTGTCGTCCCTGGGGGAAGCCGCAAAACCAGGCTCCTGCTTCCTTCCACTCTGCATCTGCCCTGGGGCTGGCTCGGGGGGCAGGGCTGGGTATTTCCTGGGGGTGGTGAGCCAGAGCAGGTCGCAGCTGAGCTGTTCAGTGGGGCGTGCAGCGTGGCACAAGGGCCAAGGACTGAATGGGCTCTGGGCGCTGACCAGCCCTGGAGGGACCTGGGTGGGCTCCGGGGGAGGTGTGGTAATGTGGGATGTGCCTCTGCCCATGCAGTGCCGAGATTGCCCGTCTGCACCCACTCACTCCCCTAGCTTGTATCCCAGCCAGGCTTAAAATCCCCTGCTGTTAGGCCAGGGGCTGATGGAGTCACCGCCTCTGCCTGGGGAGCTGTAAGGAAATGGGTTTCTCGGGGCGGGGAGGGGAGTCTGCCAAGGCAGGCGCGTGCCCATTCGCCCCAGGCTCAGGCACTGTGGCCTGCCTGGCGCACAGCCCCGCGGGCAGCCAGTTCGCAATCAGGAGTGTTAGGGAGCAGAGCGGCAGCCTCGTCAGCCACCGGGGGCCTGCCTGGGTTGCTCCAACGCCGCCAGTTGACGGCCAGAGCTGGGGAAGGGTTGGGGCGGGCAAGCAATGCCAGCTGCCGTTGGAGGCCTTGGGCTACCTTGGGCCTGACCCTGCGATCTGCCCAAGCCCTCGGCCGTGAGGCTGGGAGTTGAGGGCATTAGCAGGATCAGGCCCTTTGCCCGGGGCACCTGCTGTGATGCCGGTGGGATGATTGTGAACATTGGGGGGGGGGCACTGGGATGGGCTGGGCCTGTGGGGAAAGGAGCTCGCCCATCCCGGGGCGAAGGGGCCCTGGTGGCAGGGTTCTCAGCATGCCATTGGCGGCAGGGGATTGAGGGAGCACAGGGAGGAGCTGTGGAGGAGGAGGCTCTTGTGGGGAGAGAGGGTGAGTCCTGCGGTGTGGGGGGTCAGGGGCTCATGCAACGTCTGCCCTTCTTCTGGGTGCCTGCTGCCCCATGGCTGGCACTGGAGCTGAAGCTGCAGGCTGCCCCGTTCCTGTCAGAGGGGCCATGCAAGGGAGGAGGCTGCCATGGGACTCAAGGACTTAGGACAGTGACAGGGGAGGGGGGACACTTCGGCTCCCCAGCCGGGCAGGGTGGGGGGCAGTCTCCTTTCTCTGGGCACATCCCAGGAACAGGTTAACACACAGGCTGAGGGCATGGCCCCTCTGGGCACCACAGGCTGGAGGCGAGCGGAGAGGCCAGGGGGCTGTGGGATGGCCTGGGGCTCCATGCGGGCAGCTGCATTCAAGTCAGGACCAAGGTTTAAAGGCAACGGGCACTAGCCCTGGCCCCACAGCTGAGCGGGAGGCCCCGGGAGCCAGGCAGCTGAGGCAAGTGGGCCTGGGGCCACCTCAAGCTCAGGGGGAGAGGGGCAGGGATGGGGGGAGAGGGGGGCAAGGAGGGCTGTGAGGAGAGAGAGCAGGATATGTGGCAGGTGCCAGCTGTGGGGGTGATGGGGCCAAGTGCCTGGCTGGCTGGTGAGAGCCCAGGGGCCGGGCAGGGGGTTGTGTGGGCAGGACCTAGGGAGAAGCTGCGCTGGTGGGCACCCCACCTGCCTGGGCGTGCATTTGTCCGAGATGTTTAACTGAAGGGAGAGGCTGATGCACCAGGGTTACCCATGCCAGCTGGGCCTAGCGGGCTGCTGGTTGTGGAGGGAGCCCTGGGTGGTGGGCTAGTGCCTCTGGGCGGGAGGCCATGCAGGATGTGAGCAAGGCCTGGTGCTTGGGGGCTGGGACCAGGGAGGGGCTGGGTGGGGTTTCTGCTGGGGGGGGTTGGGTGTGTGGTGGGATCTGAGCGGTGGGGGCCGTGGGGGCTCTTGGCAGGGCAGGGGCTGACCTGCAGGAGGCAGTCGTCCCCGCGGCTCATTGCCCTCTACCCACAGGATGCTGGTTGACTGCATGCCCCTGGTGGAGGTGGAAGACATGATGATCATGGGGAAGAGGCCAGACTCCAAGTGCGTCTTCACCTACGTGCAGTCCCTCTACAACCACCTGCGGCGCCATGAGTTACGCTTGCGGCAGAAAGAGTTCTAGAGCCCCCTCCCCGTCCTGCCCCTGCTGCCCTGGGCACGGCTGCAGCGTGAATAGACTCCCGCTGCCCCCCTGCAGGGACCCAGGTGTGCAGAGGGGGGCTGCCCGCCCCCAGCAGACCTGCCCAGCCACCGGGCTGCCCTGAGGGGCCTGGGTGAGGCCGAGAGACTGGCCCTGCACTGTCTGTGCTCTGGCCCCTCTGTCCATGCTACAAGCTCCCTCCAGCTGCTCCTCTGCCCCATGGCAAGCTGAGCCCCCCCTGGTCCCGGCCTGGTCCCCCTGCCAGCTTGGCTCTCACCCCCCCTGCCCTGTGCTTTATATAGTATTGTTTTAAGTTATTCATGTTAAAGGAATTGTTTTTATGCTGTGCAATACACCCCCCCCCCCTCCCCCGGGCTGGGAGAGCCCTGTGTACATCTCAGGCTGGCTGTGGGGCCAAGGCCCTGCCCTCTCTGGCTGTGGCCCTGGGCGCCACCTGGTGCTGTAGACACCTGGCCCAGGGCCTTGTCGCTGGAGTTAGGTGGGCAGGTGAGGGAGCGGCCTGGGTCTCTGGATGCAGCATACGTGGGGGGGGGTTCTCTGCCCTCGGGGGAGGTGCCCTCCAGAAGGATGCTGCTCACGCTTCTGCTTGCAGCCCTCTCCCTTGGCAACTTCCACGCTCAGCACTGTGCCCACCCCTGGGGGCAGTTCCCCCATTGGCACGCTGCTGCCTGCTGCTCACCCCCACGAGGCACCGCCATTGCTGGGACCCACAGCCCCTTTGCCCTGGGGAGCTGGACTGGAACCTGGTGAGGGGGTGGGCTCCTGGGGCACAGGCCCTTCCCAGTGGGGCAGCCCCCCGGGGCTTGGTTTGGTACCTTCCACTTGATTCCCAGCCCTCCAACCTGACTCTGGGCCCTTTGCACTCAAGTGCCACTAGCCAATTGTGTAACCATTTCTACACCTGCATAGACACTTGTATCACCACCAGCCCAACAATAAAGTTGTGTTATACAGGGCCTGGCCTCTGCTCCTTGTGTGACAAACTGGGACTGTTCTTCATGTTTCCTCTGAATACTGTGTGGGTGCCTCAGTTTCCCCCATGCATTTCTTAAGTCTCTAGGGGGTGAGATTGTTGCAGAGCAAAGGGTAGTGTACATAAATGGCCGGCACTCTGTCTCCTGGCAACTAATGGCCAGGGCCCTTCACCCCTGCAAGGAGATAGCTAAAGGTGTTGGAGACCAAAGGAATCAGGTGACCTCCTGGCCCGGGGAAAGGAACAAAGCAGAAGAGGAGGGGCTGGAAGGGGAGTCAGTTTCGAGCTGGCTGGGAAATGGAGGGGAGCCCAGCTGGGGATCAGGCTTCCCAACAGGGCTGTGGTGTCCCTGGGACCCCCAAGATGGACCTGAGGGGGTCCTGTTATCTGTACCTGCAAGACCTGTGCTGGGCTGTGTTCCTGTCATCTAAATAAACCTTCTGCTTTACTGGCTGGCTGAGAGTCCTGGTGGGTCGCAGGATGCCGGGGGTGCAGGGCCTTGTCACCCCTGGGTGGGCAGAGGACTGCCTACTGGCCATGGTAATGCAGTGGGGCCCTTTTCCCACTGCCCTGGTTAGCGCTGCTACCCTCCCATTGCCGAGGGGAGGCATGGGGCGTGCATACCATGTGCCTCCCTCTCCTTTAAGGGAAGGGCCCTGCGTTCTCTCACCTGCAGCTCTGCCCACTTCTGGCCTGGCCAGCTCCCTTCCCTGCCAGCAGGGCTGGAGCCTAGGGGAGGAGGCAGATGGGCCTGTCCCCTGCCCTCTTGGTGTCCCTGGGCCAGGTTCCTGCAGGGGCCAGGTGTGAGGGATGGGGGGCTTCTGAAGCCAGGCTGCAGCTGAAGTGGCTGCACTGTTTCTGGGTGTCACTGCCAGGTGTATTCCTGGCTGAGCCGCACCCACATCCCCCCTGCTCTGGCTCCCAGGATCAGACACTTGTCCTCCCCCTCCCCGCTGGCTCCCACCCATGGCTGAGATCCCCAGCACAGGCTGGGCTGGGATAAGCCCAGACCTGTGTTTAGAAGGCAGGTGCTGCTCCAGCTCCCACCCAGGGAGCAGCTGGGAGGGAGGGAGTGGAGCCCCGGCCCGGCTCCACCAACCCATGTCCTGGACACAGGGCAGACCCCAACTCAGCCCCTGGCTCTGCTGCAGGGCCCAGCTCCTGCTCTGTCCATCAGCCAGGGCCAGGCCCAGCAAGGGGGTTTCCCTCCCCTGCAGCTGGGGAGCCAGCAGGGGGCAGCCCCTAACAGCCCCAGCTCTGGTCTGAGCCCCCCCTTGGAGCCACCAGCTGCAGCCTGACTCCAGTGCTGGTTCCCCACGCCCCCCACCCAGAGCCCCTGTTGTGCTGATGGGGGGTGGGGGGGTGTTTGCTGTAATGAGCTGGGGGGGCTCTGTAGCCCCCCTCCCCCGCCCGCTGGGCCAGAGCATGGCTCCAACTTGAGCCCAGCCTGCGAGGACCACCAGTCGCTCCCACCCCACACTGGCTCCAGCTGTGCAGGGCCAGCCAGCTGCATGGGACAGGCCCTCCTAACGCACGCGTGGGGTAGGGCTCTGACAGATACCCCCCCAGGAAGAAGATGACACACTGCACCAGGTGGGGTGAAGGGGCCTTTATTCCAGCTCTGGACACAAGCCCGTGGACCACAGCGCAGATGGCAGGGGGCAGCGACCCTGTGCCCTCTGGGACTCAGCTCATCCACCCTCAGCACCCAGAGCTTTCAGCTGAGGGCTTCATTCTGTCCCTGCAGGCAGGGGGCCCTGACACAGCACAGAAGCACGAGCAGGCTGGTCCGGGAGCCACGGGACTGCCTGTTAACAGCCAGGGGAGGGCAGCTGACCCAGGGCTGGTATAGACCATATTGTGCCCTGAACAACGCCCCCTGGGGGCAGAAGCTGTGTCACCCCTACCAGTGGGGTGGATGCACAGCTCCAGTCCGCACACCCCTCCCCATGCCCACGTTTGGCTGCTCTCTATAGATCTGGGTGTTCCTGGTTGCCAGGCTTCCTGGGGGGCTTGCTCTTGGCTGTGGGAGCTGGGGGGGAGGGTGCTCCAGGGCTCTGCTCCTTCGCTTGCAGGGTGGGCAGAGGCCTGGCTGGGGCGAGCTGGAACTCCTCAGGCACCGGGGCATCAGGTGCCTCCTTGCGGTAAAACCCCAGCTCCTGCACCAGCTGGTTAATCTCCTCCCGGCTCATGTCACTCAGGGGAATTCTCTGCAAAAACAAAAACCAGGGATTGCTGTGCCGGACATCCAGCAGCCCCGGCCCAGCACCGACTGGCCCACTGCTAGTCACAGCTGGGCCAGCAACTCAACTCCCTCCCACAGCTAGGACCAGGGCTCCTGTCAGTCCAGCACCATGAGCGCCAGCCCCACTGGCTTTCACAGGATGACTCCAGAATGCATCCCCACAGCCAGAGCTCCCACCCTGCTCCCCACAGTGCCCCCTGCTGGCAGAGGCTGGGACAAGAGTACCCAGGAGCACCCTCTCCCCCCACCCAGCCAGCTCTTACCTCCAGCTCCTCGTATCTGAAACTGAGCAGCACAAGCTCAGGGTCGGCTCCGGGGAGATGCTTCATCACCAGGTTGTGGCTGGAAGGTGCCCTTAAGGATCCTGGCAGTGATGGGGCAGGGCCCTGGCCTGGCATCAGCATCCACTGACCACGGCCTGGGGGACTCTGTTGCAGGGGCCTCTGTGTCCCCTAGGCTGGGAGAGCAGGGCACGGGCCCCTGGCTGGCATGCGATTCACTGAGCAGCCCAGCAACCCCCATGCTAACTCCTGGGATGACACCGGCCCTAGCACAGTGTCTAGGGAAGCAGGGGGCTGGTGGGAGGCAGTGTGGGGTTTAGCCTCCAGCAGGTGGGGTGCAGCATCTCTGCTTCCCCTCCCCCCAGGCACAGGGACTTGATGCTACTTCTGAGGGTAAAGGGAGCCCCCATCCCCCGCAGCCCTGGAGCCACCACCACATCCCATAGCGCGGGGCGGGTTAGTGGCAAATGGTCGTCGGGCTCCAGAGTGAGCACTTAACTGGGGTGAATGGGAGCTCTTGGCCCAGGCTGTCTGCAGACTCAGGCAGGCGCCACAGACCCACAGACACGCACGGGTGTTCACAGCCTTGCAGGCTGGAAATGTGAGCTTGGATCTTGGAGCCAAATCCCGGGGTTGCCAGCCCCCTCCCCATCCACGGCCCGGCCCAGCAAAGGATACTACAGAGGGATGTCCTCGGTGACAAAGGCCTTCACCTGGAAGGGAGCAGAGATGAGCGTCGCCCCCGAGACGCCCCAAAACAGCCAGGAGGGCTCCCCCACACCACAGAACCGCCAGGGAAAGCAGGAGGCTGCATGAGAGCTGTGCACCTGCCCATCCTGCCAGAGGGGTTTGGCAAAGCACTGAGATAGCCTGGCCCCGGCACAAGCAGCACCTGGGGGAGGAAGGACCCCAGGAGGAGGCCAAGGGGGTGCCCCAGTCCCCTATAGGGCAGCCCAGTGGAGGGGGTGGGGTTCCCAGGGAACGGCAGCACTCACCTCCTTCAGGCGGCTCAGCCATCATCCTCCGCAGGTCTGCGGGAAAGGGAGCGCATGGGGAGTGAGAGCTGCCCCCAGCCACCCCCAGCCACCCCCTAATCCCATTGCAATCTCCCCACTATCCCCCCTGCAATTCCACCAGCAACTCCCCCCCATCACCCTGCAGCCCCACCTGTAACCTACTTCCACAGCCCCACATGCCCCCTGCAATCCCACTTAATCTGGCTTTGCACCCCCACCCCTCTGTAGGGCACCTCTCCAAATCCCAGGGCCCCATCCTGCCCTCTGCTCCATCCCACTGACCCCACCCAGACCCAGCTGGTCCTTCTATGGCCCCGGTCAGCAGGGTGTCTGAGCTCCTCCCAGTCTGTAATGGGTTGGGGCTGTGCAGGGCTTGCACCCCCAGGCCAGTGAGTTGCCAGGGTCCCACAAGGAGCCTGTGGCAGAGCACGGGCCCCCAAGTTCTCGGGGCCACCCTTCCTCTCCTCCCCTGGGCAGGGTGGGCTGCTCCTAGCTGGACCCGGCCCCTCCCCGCCTGCCCCTGCCCCACACTGGGCTCCTCCATGTCTCCAGGGCCAGGTCACCAGGAGAAGCAGAATGCCTGGTTGCCATGGTAACGAAGCAAGCATCAGGTTGTCCTAGTAACAGGTCATGATAATGGTTTCCAGGGGAACTCACTGGGAGGCTCCACCCCCTTCCCCAATCATAGTTTGGGGGTTCATCCCCACTAGGGCTGTGCCTCTCCCCATCTTCCACTGGTATGTGGTCACCAACCAGCTGCCCCATAGCACTGCCCCCTGCCCCCAGGTCATCTGCCCCCCATCCCAGCACGCTGGCCCTTCCCCAGCTTCCCGGGGACCCCTCCTTGGGATGGGGGGTGGGGTGGATGCCGGTGGCCACTTGCCCCTGGTTAATCGCTGGGTGGAGGTGGGACCCAGGTGGTAGCTCGTCTCCCACGTAGTCTGGGGCGCTCAGATCTCAGTTCTGGTTCCAGCCCAGGTCTCCCCAGAAGGATTTGGGGTACCTCGCCCAGGGGGTTCGGCAGACCCCCGCGGCACAGGGTCCAGCTCGGCTCTGGAGCCGCAAGGTGGCAGGGGTACCCCAAGGCGCGGCAGAGGAGAAGGCTCTCACTCCCGGGACGGGACGGGTGATGCGCCTCTCCCCAGGCAGCAGCCAGCGACCGGCTGCGGGCGGTCCTGCTCCAGCCCCCCGGGATCGGCCTCCCCCCACCCGGCTACTCGGGTTCCAAGCGCTGGCCCAGCAGCCCGCTCACGGGGCCCCCCTCGCTCGGGGGCGGGGAGAGCTTGGGGAAGAGGGATGCGCTGAGACACCGGCCGGGGAGGCAGGATCCCCCCCCATCTTGCCTGGACACCCCACGTTCCACTTCCTGCATGACCCACTCCTTATCCCCAGGGCTCGGCCTGGCCCTCCGCCCCCGCCCGCCCGTCCCCTCGCTCCCCAG